GAGTCTTCGGCCCAAGAGGAAAGTAAAGACAAAGAAACTGTTACAAAGGAGAAAGATGATTCTTCGTCCCAAGAGGAAAGTAATGACAAAGAAACCAAGACAAAGGAGAAAGAAGAGTCTTTGTCCCAAGAGGAAACTAAAGGCGAAGAGACTGAGAAGAAAGAAGAGTCTCCGTCCGAAGAGAAAACTGAAGGCAAAGAAACCGAGAAAATTGAGAAAGAAGAGTCTTCCTCTCAAGAGAAAAACGAAGACAAGGAACCTGAGAAAATTGAGAAAGAAGATTCTTCGTCCGAAGAGAAGAGCGAAGACAAGGAAACCGAGAAGATTGAGAAAGAAGAGTCTCCGTCCCAAGAGAAGAGTGAAGACAAGGAACCCGAGAAGATTGAGAAAGAAGAGTCTTCGTCCCAAGAGAAAAACGAAGACAAGGAACCCGAGAAGATTGAGAAAGAAGAGTCTTCGTCCAATGATTCACAGGAAACTGAGGGCGAGAAGAAGACTGAGGAGGACAAGACTAGCAAAGAAAATGGTAATTCAGATACAGAACAGAAACAATCAGAGGAAACTTCACAGACAGAGTCAGAGAAAGAGCAAAACAGCAAGAATGATGAAACAGAGGTGACTCAGAACGATCAAGAACATTCCGATTCTTCTTCGGACAATAGTCTTCCTCAAGAAGTAAAAGATGTTCCCCCTGATCTTGATACTCTGCCGGATTCTGGCAACGGAGGAGACAGTGATAGCGTCGCGGCAGAGTAAACCTCCATTTGGTTGATCAAATTCTCTCATCTGATGTTGTTTAATAGAGAGTTTTACGAATTGAATTTGTGTCATGTAATTTGTTGTAATCTTTTTTACATATTTTTGGGTTGTAATTCCCAATCCAAAGCATAAGTTAGTTATTTTTGTACCGAACACATAAATTTTTTGTTTTTCTTCGGATTTGTCTTTAGAAATAAATTCTTGAAAATCCATTATCTCATGGTTATAATCATGTAAACATATTACCAAAATAATCCGACGACCAAAGAAAACAATTACATTAACAAAAATTTGCAATTTGCTTATTACCCTAAATAATTCAAGAAAGAATTATATTTTTGGTCAAAAGGTTTGAATAATAACTACCAGATTACCAAAATATTCTTACAACCAAAAAAGACAATTACATTTGTGGTCAAGAAGTTCAAACGACATTATCTTATAACCAAAAATACTTTTTTTGACCAAAATTACTTCTACTACCAAAAGACAATAACATTTGTGGTCAAGAAGTTCAAACAAAATTATCTTATAACCAAAAAAAAACCAAAAATACTTCTACTACCAAAAGACAATAACAATTTTGGTCAAACCGTTCAAAACCAAATCATATGTTAGCAAAATCATTTTCTATCAGAAAGACAATCTCTATATAAAAAGGAGCTTTTCTATTTTGACAGTGTTATGTGTTCAATTTGGTCTGTTATATCACTCGAACTAGCCGTCTTTCAATGTGACTGACTAAACAATATACAGTCTGACATGCTTCTGTGATAACTATGATCATCGAAGATCAGTGATTTTTTGTTTACACTGAAGAGATAAAAAATCGTCGTATCGAATTTTTGAAACTTGCTGTGTTTGCTGTGTTTTCATTCACATGAAGCCCATTTTCATGTGAGTTTCCATGCTAGCTGCTTTTTGTGAAAGGGAACACAGCAGGAATCAAATGGAAAATTTGCTAAATGACTTAGTTTGAAATGTGTTTTGTCTCTATAACCTTTATAAACATATCTCTGTCTTAATAACCTTTGCATTTTATGAAAATGAAGGGATATTAG